TATATATATATATATATATATATATATATATTAATATGGTGATTTATTTAATTCAAAATAATTCGACCAATCGTAATTGTCCATTATGTTGAACGAATAAAATATCATTAAAAATAATATATATTATTTTATATATTTATGCATATATATATATATATATATAAATACACGTTTTATAAATGTTTATTATATTTGAATTATTCTCTAAATTAATGAGTTTTCAAAAACAAAACTTCTTACCATATCGAATTACTTTTTGATTGGATGTAACCTAAGATATTTCGAAGGGGAATTTCAACATAATATCGTATAATTTTTGTAAAGGATTAACCGTTGAAATTGATATGATTTCTTCGAAGATTTTATTTTCTAACGGAAATACGATTTCTTAACAATCCGAGAGTAATACGCTTGCGTCCACATTCGATGTACATTTAACATCGATACGCGGGAGAAGTGACGCGCGCTACAACGTTTCAACCAATCAGAAGCGAGTTCGTTTTTCAACGAGGATGCGAATCGATAAGCGGTAGCCAGCACGCGTTAGGCGGTGAAATACAGCGCCCCCAGCATTTCATCCTTCTCTCTTCCTCTCTTGTTCTTACTGTATCTAGTTCTCTCATATCAGTGGCGGCCGTTTACACCGATTCTCCCACCAAAATGCATTGCGAGACACGTGATCACACATGACGCGGTAGCGACACCGTGCGTAAACGCAGCATACGTTTCTACAAGAGAAAAAGATAGAAAGAAAGAGAGAGAAAGATAGACATGCGTCGTTAGAAATATGACGACATTTCTTCTATATACCTGACGATTCTGTTATCTGTGTTCATGCGCTAGCTAGCTAGCTACAAACAGAGAGGAAGATAGGAACTTAATGATAAATCGATATAATACGAATATACGATATCTACGATTGTTACACCTAACACAACAACACCAAGTCAAAAAGCAATCTGCGTATTGACTTCTCTCTTTCTATTTCTAACTAGTATAGACGCTATCTTTCTCCATATCAGAAATAATAATAATAATAAAACGTTTAGCAGAGAATCTAAGATTTATCGTGCGACATGATTCGCTGTTTCCCTTTCTATCTATTTGATTAATACATTCTAGTTTCTTTTTTTTTTTGCACGCAAAGGGGGCGTTTATAGAAACATTTTTTTGTATTTTTTTTTTTTTTTTAGTACTAACATAATCATTGAATCTAAGAGATAAATTATTATTGACCTTGATTCGAAAGACTTATTCAAATTTGTAATAATAAAAATTATTATTATTATTATTAAATCAACGTATAGGATACTAGTTAGAAGAAATCAATCGCTGATTCGAAATACCGTCAAAATTTTGGCGCGAAACCGCATCACACCTCTGTACTAACATGAGAGAGAAAAAGTATGTTCTAGGCGGCGCCACATGACTTATCGAAAACAGAAAGGCAAACCGGTCATGGGGGGCTAGTTAACGACAGTACGCCGTGCTTGTGAATACGGTATTTTCTTCACCAGGCCAGGCCAGGCTGCTAGTTGTGCCCCTTGATATACTATTTGCACATACATATACATTTATATATATATATATATATAACATAATCACATACACATATTACATATACATACGGGAATATATACTATAATACTATACTAACGGAAAAAAGCAGGAACGACGACTTATCGCCTCCGTTTTTTTTCTTCCCTCCCTGCGAGCGTGTGCGTGTGTGTTTTTTTTATATAAGATGGGAGCATATTTAACGAAACCCATTACCAAGAAGATTTCCTCCGACAAAGTTGGGAAAAATGTAGCGTTCGGTGCGAGTTCCATGCAAGGTTGGCGTATCAGTCAAGAGGTAAGGGAACAGAGAACTCTCTAAAGAATTCTAAAGAACCCGTTGAGAACTGGCTGTTGCAGTTGCACCGTTACTTTCATACTTTTACTTCATTATTATATTAGAATGATTTCGGTTATAGAACTATCATTAATTCTACCGACCGGTATAATACCGGTGATGATTTATCATCTAGATATACTATATAGTATTATTCATGATGCCGTTAACTTTTAAAATTTTATTTATCTATATACAACTTATACACATATATAGATATATATATAATATATGTATTTATGTATATGTGTGAGTATAGCTTTTTTAGATTTAAATATAAGTTTGATATACTCGATGTATATCTTTCTTTCTTTCTCTCTCTCTCTCTCTCTCTTTCTATCTCTTTTTCTTTCTTTCTCTTACTTTTTTACTCTCTTACTCTCTGAATAAAAACGTTAACCCGCATTTCATATATATTCGGATATTATTCTAATAAGTTTTGTACATGTTGTATATTTTCAAATCGTCGAGCAGCACATTCACTACTTTGCGTTTTTTACTTTTCATTTTCTTTCCTTTCCCTCCTTTTTCTGTATATTGATTTTATTTATGTTTCTTAGTGTGTGTAAGTTTATGTGTATTTGCTGTGTATATGTGTGTATGTGGTGAATGTATGCCTTATCCATTATTGTATATCACAATTATTTTCTTAATTATAATTATACATA